GATTGGCCTGATTTACTCAATAATTACTCCTTTATTATAAAAAATAGAAAAAAATGGTTCAGGACTTTTCGACTCAGTTTTACTCCTTCTANCTGCCTACGAGAGATTGTACGGCAATTCTGGGACACCCTGTATATATATAAATGTAACGAATTCTACTTGTAAATTTTTACAAGTATTTTTTGAATTGAAATATCAATTCTTAAAATCGTACGGGATGCCGGATTTGCATCTCACATATGAAAAACCCCGGATACCCCCCCTAACTAATTGTTAAAATATTGCGAAAAAAAAAAAACTCCCCGGCCAGGAGTCGAACCTGGGAATCCCCGGCTTTCCGTGCCATCGCCTTCCCTGTTAGGCCACCTGGAGGCACTTGGAGTTAAGGCCATTCTACAATGAGATTGAAAATGTCCCGTCGCCAGTTGCAACTACTAGGGAAAAAGTATTAGTTTACATGCCGCGGTTGCCAGTTGCTGTTGACATTGAAGTTAAAAGTTAACCAACTCTCTTTTAGCAACGACAAAGCGCAACCAGAAATAATACTTTTCTTTTCGCAATTGCTACCTTTCGCAATTGGCAACGGGACATTTTCGACTCATTGTAGAATGACCCTTAGTCTCGCAATACTCATACATATATCGAAGATGGTCTGATAATGTTGTTAACGCTAATTGCCCATCCTGCGAATATCGGCTCGTATCGGCCTTATTTGATTTCTGTTCAACAATTTCACGAGTGTTAAGTCTTTTTTTATAGATACTTATCGCCTCTGTCTGTTTCTATGTAAAATGCGATCATATCACATCTCGCGTCTCTTCTCTCTCTCGCTGTTAGGTTCCGTCGCGAGAATGGTGTGCAATAACGTAGCGTCTAAAGACCCCGATATCTGTTACGTCGCCAAGCTGCTGGGCATGCAGGGAGAGAGGTTTACCAAACCGAAGAAGGTCTTCTGCTTTATCTCGCCCAAGCAACTTACGATCAAGGAGTATTTGTTGAAATTCATTCCCAAAAGACTCGTGACGTTCAGACTGTGTCCCTCGACCAAGGTAGTGCGCAACGTCGAATAACAAAATTTTCACGCACAGTGAAACACTCGTGTGTATAATTTTCAATTGTTGTTGTTACAGTTTCATTTTGAGAGTTCGACCAATCAGCACGAGGGTTATTATCCGTTCTCGATAGACGACGGATGTCAGCCGCCCGTTGAATTGATATCCCTGTATCGCGACATAATAGCCGCGACGTTCACGTTGTTTCTGTTGAAGAACATAGGCGGCAGCGAGACCTTCGCCGACAAACAAGACTTTTTCTATCACGAGGTCCGTAAGCATCATCAGAAGCATTATCACGAGAAACTGTCGATAAAGGTGCAACGTGACAAACTTTTGGAGTCGGTAATTACAAGAAAAACACGTTTATAAATCAAGGCGCAAAACGCCGTGTAAAATTTTACACTAATTTTGTATTTTTTTGTTTTTTTTTTTCTATCGCAAGTCTATGAAAGCAACCAAAGGATTTTCCGTGAGCGATTGGTGTCGAAATTTCGAAATTACTTTTCAAGGCGAGCAGGGTACGTTTTAATTTTGTATATATTCTAGAAAATATTTCTGTCGCAAAAAAAAAAAAGAAAAATTTTCTTGCAACAAAATCTGTTTGCTTTCAGGCATCGATTGGGGCGGCGTGAGACGCGAGTGGTTCGAATTGGTTTGCGCCGCGCTGTTCGATCCGGGAAACGGTTTGTTCGCGTCCTTCGGCGAGTCGCAACAAGCACTGGTTCATCCGAATCCCAAACGGCCTCCGCATCTGAAATTGAAACATTACGAGTTTGCCGGACGTATCGTCGGCAAGTGTCTTTACGAGTCGGCGCTCGGCGGGTCCTATCGTCAGTTGGTTCGCGCGCGATTCACCAGGTCGTTCCTCGCGCAAATTATAGGACTGAGAGTACATTATAAGGTAACGCGATCTTGTATACAATCTTCTCTCTTCTTTTTTCTAAAAAAAAAAAAGTTAACAAAACCGACCAGTCAACACATGTCATCTATTTTAATAATATCTGAATATAAGGACGTTAAGAACCGTTCGCAGGATGTTGTGCGTGAATGTGTAAAACTGAGTCGAAAAGTGCTGAACCATTTTTTTCTATTATTTATAATAAAGGAGTAATTATTGAGTCAAATCAGGCCAATCAGCGCAGACCTTTAGCCAGACGCACGTCAGTGAGCGCTCACACACACCAGGCGCGCGGCTCACTGACGTGCGTCTGGCTAAAGGTCTGCGCTGATTGGCCTGATTTGACTCAATAATTACTCCTTTATTATAAATAATAGAAAAAAATGGTTCAGGACTTTTCGACTCAGTTTTACTCCTTCTACCTGCCTGCGAGAGATTGTACGGCAATTCTGGGACACCCTGTATATGTGCGTGTATGCACATATATAAACGAATTCACGTTTTCACGTGTTTTTTGAATTGAAATTTCAATTCATAAAATCATACAGGATGTTACACTTGCATCTCATGTATGAAGGAACCCATATACCCCCCGAACTAATTTTAAAATATTGCGAAAAAAATTCCTCAGCCACTCCTTATATTCAGATATTATTAGTTTAAGGACGTTCTCCGAATTATTGATTTTCCCAGGATTTTCTCTAAATTTGCGATATACATAGTTTGTGATCTTATTTATACATAGCCTTTTTGGATAATAAGGGTAGCAATGTTAAATTCCAAAATATAGAAGATTTAAGTTTCAATTTTTAACATGGATTTCCTATGCCGAGCCTT